GCTCGCCACCTCCACGTAGGACGGCCGCTCACGTGGGGCGAGCGCGGGGAGCTTTGGGGCACTAAAATAGCTCGGCCGTGGTGCCAGCCCAGCTCCCTTGGGAAGGGTTTTTGGGCATGCCTTAATTAGAAACGTTGCTCCGGAAAAGCAGCTGCCACAGATGAGCGAGAAGTGACCCAAAACTCCAGCGAGGGGTTTAAGCAGCCTGGTTTAAACCCCAGCGAGGGTTTTAAGCAGCCCGAGGCAGCGATCAGATCCGCCGCCTCCTGCCACACCGAGCGCCCCCGATCGCCCGGCCGGAGCCGGGATGCCGCAGCCAGAAACGGGACGTGAAGACTGATGGCATCACCCACGCTTCCCCGAGCTATAAAAGGCACATTTCCTTCTGTGCCACCCGTGCGTGCCTGCAGAGACCCACAAAACCATCATGACACCATTCCGGGGCCGGGCGCTCCTCGATGGCACAGCCGAGGAGTGACAAGGACGGTGCCGGGGTGCTGCGATCTGTCACCAGCACCTTGTGAGTCCTTCTGACATCTTTCCGCCGAGCGTTTGCCGCAGACGAGCTGCAGCTCCACCCGCTGGCAGGAAAACCAGCAGCCCCAGCTCGGCGGCGGGATCGGGGGTGTGACTCCCATCGGGGTTTGCCCCGTGTTAAGAGAGGTTCAACCCTCACCCGTGAGCCACGCAGGACTGCTGCGGTTTCATGGAGACTTATAAGGGAAAAGATGATGTGCTTGCTCCAAGCCGGCTGCGGGGAGGCAAAAATTGAAGCCTAAAAAAGGCATTTGGAGGCTCTCTGCCCGCAGCGACCATAAAACACCCCGGGGTGGCGTTGGCTCCGGTTGCAGAGGGCAACTGAGGCAGAACATCCCAGTTGTCACATCACCCAGATCTCCCGGGGACCAGCACAGCCCTTGTCTCCGAGCACCAGCCTCCTCCCTGCGGGGCTCAGTGCCATTTTTTTTTCCCCGCGACACTTTGTCCCCAGCAGCGCCCCCCCCGCTGAGCCGTGGGGACTCTTCCCCCCTCTCTGCAGCTGTACGTGGTGCTCCGTGCAGCCCGCTGAGCTCCGGCCCGTCCTCTGCAATTTAACACCCTGCTCCTGGCCCCCAGAATCTCGGGGCGAATTCCTGACCCACGCTGGGCCCGTGCAAAAGGGGAGCTGGCAGGTCCCCCACAAAAAGGGGAGCCCTGGGGGAAAGGGCCAGGACCCCACAGAAACCCTGCACCCCTCCTGTGCCCAAGGGCCTC